AACATGGAAATGGACTGTTTCAATTGATCCCAACAAAACATACAAAATTTGCTTAAGAAGGTATCGTTAGGTATGCCTACATGAATAAGAATAAAGGAAATATATTAGAAATACATTTTAATTCTCAGTAAAATTTAACTTCCTCATTAAGGACTGTTTTGTTTTCTTTCTTAGAAGCCTCCAATTCTGCCAGTCAGAAACCATACTTCTTAGAACACCATTTTCCTAATTAATAACTGTGATGCAACATATGATTGAGACTAGTATCAAAGTTTTCTTCCAGAGTCTTCTAAGATATGGACATGGAAAAAGTACACGTGCCAGTCAGCCCTACCTACAGATCCCTAGCTAATTCATACAACAGTTTAAAAAGTAATATTGTACCAATTATATGCCATGCTAGGATCTACACAGCTAAAATGCATAAAAACTGGACAAAATTAGCAGTTTAATGCAAGTCTCGATAGATATCTTTGCTGACAAAAATGATCCCTGTGGAAAAAAATCTGCTACCAGACCAACTATTTTTTGCTTAATGTTATCATTATTAATAATATTAATATTAGTTTACTTTTTTCCTTTAATCCTTCATTCTTACTGTGGACCAGTCTCGGGCTTGCCAGATTTATACTGGTCCAACACTTTTGTTTTGATGTTCTCTTATCTGGATGAAATAGTATTGAAGGGAGCAAGAAACAAATCACTAGGAAATTTTATCTCTTCTGTAGAACCAGAGAGCTCTATAGTCACAGGAGATCCATATTTCTAGTTAGACTGTTGGAAAATAAATTTGGTAGTATAAAAAAGCATTTCTGTAAAGGTCCTTAGAGAGTTTTCAAAAATATTTTTTTAATCATCTAAATCCATGTAAAAACAGAAAGATAGAAACAGACAGATATTTTAAAGTAAAAAGTGCTTCCACGGTCAGAAAACTACAGCTAACCAGAATCACTGGAAAATCGATCTACTTTCATGGAGACACTTAAGTATGGATTTAAGACTTACCTTCAGGCCTTTTTTTTTTCCCCAGTCATGCACATGGAATGTTTACAGTTCTCTAGAGAACACCATCTCTATTTCTGCACAGTAGCTTTATGTATCTATGGAAGGGAGACATAAACCCGTAATTTTTTTCATATAAATTGTGCATTAACATCCTGACAGTCTGGGCTTTGGGGGCATTAATTTATATTAGTGAACTTTTCTACATTTGCTTCTGACCTTGGAAGACCTCTCCTCAGCTAAGAAGCACTGTTCTATATGAATTTCTACCACGTGGTTTATAAACTTCTCTGTGTGTAGCACTCAGAGGGTCTGATCCAGAGCTGAATGAGCTGGGAGATGATACAGCACAGTGGCATCTGACCCCTTTCACAGAGATCTCTGCATATGCTGTGCCTCCTGCGCCCAGTGGAATACATGTAAGAGGATAGGAAAAGCTTCAGCACCTCAGGGAGTCTTTCTGTCAATCTCTTCATCTGTAAATGCAGCTCAAATTCTCTGAGGCCATGCCAAATAATTTTTGTCAGTGTACTTCACCAGGGCAAGCCCAGTGCACCAAGACTGTGTATCCCTATTACCCAAATGGAAAAGGAAAACATTTCAAGTAAACTGTTTCCTTCTCTACCACATTCTTCTTATTCACAGGGAATTTCCTTGAGGAAACTGCTTTAATTTTGATCCCACATACATCTACCTTAGCATCTTACTTCAGTTCAAGAGTTTATTTTTAAAACAACTGTGCCAGTTGTTTGCCCTCAGTGCACTTTGGTTTGCCTCTTGAAGCATGGGAAACAGATTCCTTTTGGATGAAGCTCAATGGGAGGACACACACAAGGACCATACCTGAAACCTGCCATGGCCAAGTTTCCTCATGGACTTTCATGGAGCCACAGTGGAGCTGATTCAAGATCACCCTCACCTTCCAGAGCATCTATCCCAGGGAGATAGGGTTTCAGCAGCTGCTCTTTCTCTGCCAACATCTGCTCCAAAGGTGATACACTATTTGCTGATGTAAGCAGAACAGAAAAATGCTGTCAAGGGACACACCTCTAGGATAGAACCTGACAGTCCATCATTCCCAGAGTGACCCTTGCCCACCAACATCACTGAGCTCATGTGACTCAGAGCATTGTAACTGATAAGGCTGCATTGCCAGAAATGGAAGAGAAGTCTGAAGTTCCTCCCATACAATTATAGACCCCAGAACAGAAGTTCAGAATAAATAAATCTCTGCTTAGCCTGGCCTACTTGGTCAAACAGTGCAATGACTTGTCATTTGCAGTCAAAATGTTTGTGTTCTAAAAATTTAAATTGGGAGCTTTTGAAAGGACCAATATTCCTTTTTGGATTTTTATTAAAATTAATAGTGGTAATAAGTGCAGAAAATAAATCTATTTTCCTGCACATATAATCAAGCAGGTACATAGACAGTAAGCCCTCTCTCATTATCAAACAATTTCAGCTCTATTCTCATTTGGTATGTCTACACCTTTAACCAGGAATTTTAAAATTCAAAATATTAACAATATCACTTTAAGATTATCACTTGGTTTATATTTACTTTGTGCAAAGGACAAAGGAGATATTTTTAAACCTTTTGATCTTTGGAAAGAAAGAGTTTATGGGAAGGAGATAAGCATTATCTAGTACTTCATAAAGAACAATCATGAATGATTTATGTTCATTACAGCTGTAAAATCAGATATATTTCAAGCTTCCCAGTATGCCATACTTGATTAGAGCTGAAAAGTCAGTTTTCAATGCATTTATTATGCCTGTATAATTAATTATTTAAGTAAACCAGCAGTATTTAAGCAGGGAAGAACCTCCACAATGCACAGTTTTCTTTCCTCTTCCTTCATTGTTGGTAGTAGAAAATAGATCAGCAAAAATTTCTAGGTAAAATATGAGGATTCCCATCTTCCAAATGATTGCCAGGAAAGTCTGGTTTCAAGATATCTCAGGTTGAAAGTAGTCTTCTGTGCGAATTACTCCAGTTGTTTCCACCTGTTATGCGGGAAAAAAAGGTGGCTATCACATCGTTCTCTCAGCCATGCACTTTTAAGGAGGTAAAAAAGGCCATGGATGCACTGAGAGCCTTGCCATCCTGGAAAAGGTGAGGGGGTTTTGGTTCCCACCTGTATTCACTGTCTCCAGCTTTCCATGACCAGTGATGACCCAGGCAGCAATGGGAAGTCTGACTGTCCTTGGCACCTAGAGCTTTAATTCCAGGAACTCAAGGAGCACAGTACCTTCCATGTGGTTAAATCCATCAAATTCTTCAGTTTGATACTACAAAATAAAGTAGTCATTTAATCACACAAAATCACCACTAAATCTTTTAGTCAACTACAAAGGCAAGGGCCATGAATTTCTTGATTTCTAGTTACATTATAATATATCTCTTTGCACTTCAGGTAAAATAGGGTACATTTTCCACCTTATATGCTCCTTCTAGTCAATAACACATACAATTTATTCTTGTGTTCAATTTTGGTTTTTTTGTGGATGACATAAATATTTAGTTATATGCAGACATCTCTACAGACCTGATCTATAAGAAAATCAAGAAAACAAAAGCAAGACCTTTAAGAAAATTATAAGCAAGACCATTGCACTCTCCAATAAAAATCTCTAAGGTCAAGGGGAGTTTTATATGGGAAAATATGGCAGTATTAGAGTAGCATATGCTGCTCTTCATTATTTTCCCAGAACCAGTCTTTTCTAGTAATGAGTAGCCAGTTAATGAAGTCTTTTCAGTTCATGTTCTTTTCTTCTCTCATTAATTTACATGAACTAGGAGACTGATCTTGTCACAATTCAGAAACCCTTCCCTTCAGTCTCAGCCTCTCTTCATTCATAATCCTTTAATTTATCTTTCGTGGTCAAATTGTTCTGCCCATATTCTTTTCTTTTTAATGGTCATAAATAGTGCTGCACTGATGTATCCTGAACAAAGTGCTTTATTGTCCAAGTGATCCCACTGATGGTAGAGACTGTATTGAGGTTTCCCTGCACAACCACACACGGGTACATAAGCCTGTAAGCGCTGTCAGTGCAGGAGTCACGAGTGACCTGCAAAGCATCAGAAGGCAGTGCTGGGCAGGCTGCCCTCTTTTCAAAGCCTGGCCAAAAACCAAAAACTTCTCTCTTTTTTTCCCCCTTTTTTTTTTTTTTTTTTTTTTTTTGTCTTTTACCATGATAACTTCGAAATGGATGGTTTTTAAGCCAACAAGCGACAATACCCAAATGCCACCTACTTTTTAGCACCCCTCAAATAATAATGAGGATAAAAGGTGGTCTACAGTGTGCAAACACATAGATGTATATATTTACTGGCATCCTGATGTACACCATGGATGCTGTGTACAGCTTGCTCTCTACTGCTGACTGAAATACCCCAGGGTATGAAGCATTTCAGTTGGTAGCAGAGAGGAGCCTGACTCTGCAACACGCTGGGTAAAGTGCAAACCACAGTCACTCTTCAAGCAACGAAGCGTTTTCTACCCCAGCTCACCACTCAGCTCGGCAAAAGGGTCTATCAGCAGCTATAAACTTTCCTTATCCTTGCACCTTCCAGATCTTTTTAGGCATTTTTTAAGCTTCTTGGAATGCAGACATCGGTTCTGCTCCTTTCTTAGAATTTGTGTTGTGGTGGGCATCAGCAGTTCTTTGAAAGGCGATTTCCAAAGAGGAAATTTAGCAATGATGTTTTTTCGGGGGTGATTTTTGCTCAAGATGCATCATTCCTCTATAAGTATTTAAATTTCATAATATGTGTATATACACTGAAAGTTTGGTGGTTTCTCCCAGTTTTAGTTTTATTTAATGCTTTTCATACATTGAAAATTTCTTTAAATGCTTGAAATTCATAAAAATAATTTCACAGCAATGTGATAATTTTTTATTTATAAACTTGAGTGTGTGTAGCAGACAGGAGCAATCAAAATTAGTATTTCAAGTGGCAAATAAATAAAACAGCTATTCCAAATCCCTGAATTTCAAAGCATCTCCTGCAGAATAAAAAAAGTGCTTGAGCCCTCAACTATGGCAGATCACTTCCTACTATAGGGGTTCCACAGGGCTGTTATGCTGCATTCTTTACTCCACAAGTCTGAAATGATTATTTGCATATGCTTAATTAAGTAGCAGCTAATTACATCCTATCAAACAGATAGAAAGGCACATCATTTGATGATTATATATATTAATATATTATCTAAGTGATAAGACTAACCAGTAGGTTGGAGAGGAAATATTTTTGCTGCTTTCATCTTTTATTGAAAAACCTTTTTACAGATTCAGTGTCTAGAGCAGAGACTCCAGCAGCCCACACCATCCCAGGAAAAGGGCAGCAGAGATGTTGTTTTACCAATGTTGCCAGAGCTTGGCTTTCTTCCCACAAGAAACTTTTTTCTGCTTTTTTTGCCTCTGGGTGAGCTTGGAATTCCCTTCTCAGCAGGTCTTCAGACTTAATAAACTCTAAGCCTCAGCAACTCCCAGCTGATAGGAGGAGGAGCCTGTTCTTTCACCTGCCTGCACCTTGAGGACAAGGAAGATTATTCATCTCTGCAGGGCAAGTACAATACAATACTGGCAGTTTTCTTCCTGGCTTTCTGCCAGATTCCCACTGTGGCTACACAGACCCTCTGGGATAAGCCAGGCTTTTCTAAAGGAAGAACTGGTTAATTATAATACAAAAGTTTCAAATGCTATTTTCAAGGGTAATACAGGTTTTCTGGAACAATGCCTACATATATAAAATCCTGCCATATGATACATGCTCTAATTCCAATGTTTGCATTGGGTCTTTGTTAAAAATAAATCATGCATGCCACTGATAATGTACTTCTTGGTTTAGCGACAACTGGTGAGTCTTTAAGATCAGGCAAAGAGCTTTTATCTGTAAAACAGGATTGAGCAATACATGAGGGTTTTCTTTTTTAATTTTTTTTTTTTTTACTATACCTCTGTAACATAATAAAATTGAAGGCAGTTGAGCTACTAAGAAGGCATGTTTTTTGTTAGTGTAGCAAAATACCACAAGGAAGTCGCAGAAATCCAGAAGGTATTACAGAGGTCTGGTTACCTTAGGTGTGTTGGCACGTCTGTAATTTCTAGATAGGGCCATCCCATGATAACTGGATGAATTTCCTGCTTCTTTTTTCCTCCAGTACTGGCCCTTAATTTGGAGCTGCACAAGCATCATTGTGTACAACACAGACATTGTAACTTAAAAATTACAGTGACCTTACAGACATCTGTATCACAATCAAACTGAGGAGCCATTCATGCTAAGCCACACAGGGCAAAATTAAACAATCGAAAAAGGTTTGTAAAATAATTATACATAGCAGGTGTCATAAGAAGAAGCACTCAGCACCAGTGCATAACTCACATTCTGCTATGGATTTACTGTTACCCGTAACTGGGAAATATTTCACAACATCCCTAACTCACCCATCTGTAATATGTGATGCAATCAGTGTTCACAGAAATTTGCATCCAGCCTAACACCAGAACACAGTACTTGAACCCCGTACTATCATGCCTGCGCAAAATTCGGCATTCAGGCTACTTGCTGTCCTTAAAGCAGCTTGTTCACCACTCACAAACTGCAAGGAAAAGTGGGCATATTATCAGTAACATTCTCTGGTAGCCTTGAGGAGCTCCAGAGTTCGAGTGCTGATGTCAAATGTGTAAACCGAAGTCCTTGGTCTCTGGTGACTACCTTGAAGGGTTGGACTTTTATTTTTAACTGAAGCGGTTGAATCACTTAAATCACTCCAAAGAGAAGTCTGGGAGGGTACAATATCTCCATATATCCCCAGTTACATCCCACATCTTCTCTGCACCCCCTACATCTCTGCAGACCCAACTGCACATTCAGTATGAAGATCGAGCTCTCCTGAAGAGCAGGAGGTGTTTGATTATTGCCTTGCTGCCTTTCAGCTGTGGCTGAGGAGAGGACAGGGAAGTGACAACTTTAGCCATTCTGTTGTTTACTTTGCTGCCCAGCAATGTGACTTCTGGGATGAGCTGAGCAGGTGAGATCAGCACTCATGGACAGGCACTTCCCATCAGCTGTGCGGGTCTTAGAGCAGCCCAGAAAAAAGGAAAACTACCAGCACCCTGACTCACAATCCTGGCAGCTACAGAGGGCATGGGAGGGAAGGAGAATCAAAGTTAGCCCTTTTGCCGTTTTAAGTGCTGAATTGAATTACCTATGATTAGGATGTAGCCCTTAAATGGTGGAATGTTTTTTAAGGCAATAAATACCAGTGTGACATGAGGAACAGTGAGTGTCTTTGCAGTGCAGGAGGGACAAAGCTTTGTCCTGTCCTCTAAACAAATTTATTCTGATGAGACCATTTGGGAATTGAGAAGTTCTTTTACCTGCAGAGTGGAAAGAATCATACTTTTAACCTTTTTTTTATTTTTATTTCTCCAGTCCTTAGGCCCACAACCATGGAATATTATTGGACTTACCTACTCCAGGCACATGTTTAGAGGCACAAAGGTGAGAGAGTTTGGGCCTAAAAGATTTGCTAAAAATGGACATTCCATCTCTGAAGAGCTTCTGTGGCAGAACACAGCCCAGTTCCTCATTCTTTACCTTCTAAGGTAAATGAACTGAGCATTGCTCATAAAAGTGTAGAATGAACTTTGCACAATAAGTGAATTTGTTATAATCAAGACAGCCTCTGAACTTGAAGCAATAAAAGAGGCAGAGCAACTGTGTAATAAGTTCAGTATCCACATACCAGTCACTTTAAGTGTAGAAGGCCACACCACATTCAGGGTGTCTCAACTTTCTTCCACAACAGCCTCTTCAATGAGTATCAGATTTCTTCTGGAGGCTGGTTGTTTAAAGTTTACCTGATGAGGGTTTTTTGCAAAGCCAAAAGATAATGTGTCATACTTAAACCTACCCTCTCCTGCCCAGAAAGCTCTCACAAGAAATATGCTTTGTTAGCTGGGAATCACCTGTTTTACATACACTGTCTCAGTTGTCAGAATTATAAAAAAGTTAATCCTTCTGCTGACATGTATAAGGAAAACAGCATTTCAGCCACAGAAGAGCTCTGTGTTTTATGTCAGGCTTCCAATTATTACAAAATTTTAAAGAGCAAGAGGCAAAAAGAAAATAAGAATCAGTCTTTTCAGGAGAATGTACAGAAAAAAATTCTTCTATTTGGGCGTTGTGTCCTCTGGGAACTTAAGGAATAGTGTAACTGAATGCCTAGGGGGAAAAAAGTTGGTGTTTCTAATCATAGAAGAGAATAATGAGGTAACTTTCAAAGCTCCCTCACAAACTAAATTATTTTATGAAAAGTAATGGCATTGATCTATTAGAAAACTACTTAGTAGTTTATGCTATTTGATGTATATTGTGATGTTATTTTAATATCTGCAAATATTCTATTATGTTATATTATGAAAACTTTGTATATGTTTATATTAAATACATATAAGACATTTACTCAATCATATATATTATGTACTTCTGTATTAAATTTAATTATTCAGTGTTCATACCATTTATTTTCAAAGTTCATGTCATGCATTTAACCATTGTGAATTAATTAGAACTCTATTTCTCTACATTTCAGATGCCTCCAAGATTTCTAATGCTCTCTGTCCTTTGTTATAGCAGACTCGCATGCTCCACCACTAATCATCTGAGAACACTGTACAAAATACACCATGAACATAGTTTTTTTCTCTTCATTCAGTGCTCATCTTGTTTACAAAAGTACAGCAAACAAAGCTGTAAGCAAAGAAACCATTTTTATAATAAAATTTTAATCCTTTCTTAAGGATTCTTTCTTAAGGATTCTTTCTTAAGCAGTGGCAAAGCAAAGCAAACACACACACACACACAGGAGAAAGGCATATCTTTTTTCCTTCTTAAATTCAGTGCAAAATCTTCCTTTGACTGCAGGGGGAGCAAGAATTTTCCTAAAGTATTTTTGAAACATTTAGTTGTGGTTCACCCAGTGAGCAGTGTCTTTTTCATTAGCCAGATAATTATTTCTGCATAGAACAGAAAGAATAAACTACACCCATAGCATATGAAATCAAACTGAGCAGTGTGTTGCCTCAGACTGACTCCTTGTCTCAAACAATATGGTAGAAACAAATGTATAAAAGAGGCTAAAGTTAGTAATTTAATTTCTTTGTATTATTGTACAAAAAATATAATTTCATACAGAATGAATAGCCAGCAGTAAATTTATCTTAGAATAACAGAAAACATATGTCATTAGAAAGGTTTTTTTTCTACTTTTGCAATAAGTAGACGAATTTTACCACTGCTATACTGATGTTCGTCACCTGAATGTCCAGCCTTATGATTTTATCTGTGTCCCTATTATCTTTTGGCCCAATAACCCCAATAAGGAATATATACAAACAAATCACTCTTTTGGAGTCATTAGAATCTTATTAAACTCCATAGAAGAATCAATGCAGTTTCTAATGTCCTCACAAGGATGACTCACAAATAAGGCAGCTGGAGCAGTTTCCACCCCAGCTCTCAGCTCTGCCTGTAAGGAGCTTCTGCTCCTGCAGAAGAGCCCTGTAACCTGGAAAGAACCAAATGCCATGAGTAAGCTGTTCTGATAATGGACCAAGAGCATTACTGCAATTAGAATTGATAACAAGTAGATGCAGTATGAATACATAAGTACATTCTACTGATGAACCACTGCTGGGTAGACTGAAATGTCAAAGGCCTTGAAATGTGAAGCGATAACATGACTGCAGTGTGCTGCAGTTATCAGGAACTCACCTCAGGAAACCTGAGCAGGAAACTGTTTTGAGGTCTATTAAATAAAAACAGGAGCCTGCTGTTGGGAGGCCATTCAGCCAGTGTAAAAGCTTCACATAATTCATCATGTGCAGAACTGCCCAATAACTTATTCATGCAGCCATAACTGAAAGCAGAGGTGGAACCATCTTTACTTTGCACAAATAAGGCTATCACAAATACGTGCTGCTGCACAAGTGTCTGTGCTTTAGAACCCAGCATGCAAATCTGAGCACTCTGCTTGCCTGCAGTGCTGCCTACAGAAGTGTTACCTCACAGTCACCCCAGGGAAAGGTTCCCCTTATATTTCCTCTGCTCCAGCATCCTGCCCAGCAGGCTTGGCTGCAGTCCAGCTGGCTCGGACAGAGGCAGGTATTAACACCAGCATTGTCCTGGGTTTCCAGGACTGCAACAGATCTGGTGTCTGTGCTGTGTCAGGACAGTGTGATCAGCAGTTCATCCTTGCCTTCCAGGACTGGAGAATGAATAGCTGAACTGGTCAGTGTTTCAGACAAGCAATTTTCTTCATTTTGCATGTTGTGCTCCTCCACCAGCGCACCAGGGAAATCCATTCTTTAGATTAGCAGTCCTGAGTATTGCTTAGGATATGTGGCCTCAGCAGATGCTCAGAAAACATACAATACATTGTTAAAATATCAAATTCAGTCTTTGAAGATTAGTCCTCATATCCACTTTCCCTTTGGGTGACAGGTCTTTTTGCCTTAGTGATATCTACTAGACATGTCTCAACTCTCTCAGGCTCTCCTCAAGATATTCTAGAGGGTTTTTTACCTCACAAGCTAAGTTATTCTTCAGTACTGGAGAGCCCTTTTCTCTTGGGCAGCTTCACTGATAGCTTCATTGATAGTTTGGTCGCCTTTCTCCCTGTGTTTTTCTTGTAGTTTATTTCAGTTCATTATATCTGAGAGTTTCTTTTTCCAGAGCTGAGCATTCCTTTCAAGTTCTGCTTTGTAGAATCAATCACAGAAAGAAATACATGTAATATCTTCCAGATTCATTTCAAATCCAATTAAATTCCCAGTAAAACCACATCAAGGCATCTTTTATGAAGTTTGGAAAGACTGGTGTTCACTTTGGTGCCCCTAGCGAGGTATAATTGCCAGCTTACAGAGAAAATGAGTTTTCTGACTCAAGAAAAAACTTGTGCATTATATATGTCTGTCTCTACTCCTTTGAACCTAAAACACTCCAAAAGAGAGAGCACAAGCTTCAGGAATAGCTCCTGCTGGTGTGTGCCATCACATCAGTGTCAGAAAGGATCTGTTACTCTGGATTAAGTCCTTTCACACCCTGGTCCCTGGAAGCATCACTTGAACTGAGACCTCCTCATCTGACATCTGGAATGTTTTTACCTATAAACCAGGCTTTGCTGGACTCTTCTTACCTACTCAGTGATCTTCTGCAGAATTAGTGGACTGTAAATATCAAGTCCTCACTGGAACTACAGAGTTTTCTTTTAAACATCCGTCCTTTTATTTAGGGAAATATCTAGAAAACTGAAAAACATATTAAAAAATATTAGAACCATAAAAACAGGGAAAAATTTTTAATCTGGCAGAAACTCCTAAGTCTGGGTTATCCAACTACCATATCAAGCTTTTCTCCTAGGTCTTCCTACCTTTATTTTGAACCTTCTGTGTACATTATTTATCTGTTAAAGATGAATCTAGGAGCAATTTCTATCTATTCCTCAACTGCTAAAAACTGACACAAAGTTAAAAACTGAAGCAAAGGCATGTCCCATGCTCCTGTTCTAGCAGGAAATTTGTTGGCACTGAAATCAAAGGTTGTGATTTGCATTACTTGTGAGTCCTTGATAACCTGGGTGTGGAAGCAACCATTGCAATCATGAGTAGTTTCACTTGCAATGTAGATGACATTTAGGTACTTACAGAAGACCATTATAACAAGCCCATTTTTCTGACAGAGTATCCATTCCCACATGTTTTATGTTTCTGGGTAAGAAGGTAGCCACATTAGCTAGCAGATTAGCTGAAATTCTGTGCTTTCCTAGCAGTGTACTCTTTGGTTGTCCATAGGGCTTTGCCTTTTTGTATTTCAAAACTCTCAGATGCTCTCTGATACCCTTCTTCCCTGTGGCTGACACTCAGCCTTACAGCGATATTTTTGCTTTGAGTATTTAGGGCAAAGGTGACTGACATCAATGAATGACTTGTCTTAGAATGACCTTGGGACTATTTCCATTTTCAAAATCCGTAGGATGACTCCTTACAGATTCTTTATTAAACCACTATAGACTATGAAGCCCTACAAAACTGATACAGCATTTGGAAACTGTGCAGGTTGTGACAGCAGTCTTGAGGTCACTCTTTGCTTGAAGTACTTTTATTGTTTCAGATTCTGTTTGAAGATGCCGTGTGGAAACTGGCATGCAGTACGTCTGAAGGAAGGTAAGAGTTTTTTAGCTGCAGCTTACACTTCTTGAGAAATATCAACCACTAGTACACTATCTTCATGCTTCCTCTGTCTCTGTCTAGATTACAAATGCAGAGGAACTGAAAGCATGTGCCTGATGTCAACCTACAGACTTGTCACGGAGTTAAAAGGAGTAGAGCTGGAGCATGGCTACAGGTACTCCAGACCAAGTGCTTGTTGCAAGAAAAGGCACAGACCCACAGAATTATGTAGGCTTGAAGGAACCCCAGAAGGCCAACTGGCCCTACCTCCCGTCCAAACAAACACAGCTGGAGCAGGTTGGTCAGACCTTGCCCAGTTGCATTTTGAGTACCCGAAGGATGGAGATTTTACAGCTTCTCTGGGTATCTGCTCCACTGTCTGACAACTCTGACTGTGAGGGGAAAGGAAAAAGTTAAAGAAAAAGAAGCTCCTTATTTCTAGCCATCCCTTACATCTAAACAGAATACATGTCTCTTCTCTCCTGTCATGTCACCACGCATCTTCAAGAGATACTCCTCCATGCTTTCCCAGTAGGTAAAGTTATAGGTAACACTAAGATGTCCCTTGGGTTTTCTTTTTGTAGGGCTGAGCAAACACAGCTCTCTCAGATGCTCTTGGGACTAGTAGATAATGTACTAAGCTCTCCCCTCAGTTTTATGAGAGGTACACTAGTTTTGTGATCTAAAACTGAAAATGTTTTAAAGTTACTCATAGCAATGTCTCAAAGTTATTCTCTAAAGGAGACAGTCCAGCCCTATTCATGATAATAATGTCCATTAACATCTCCAGAATTTCCCAATGGAGAGCTGACATTCGATTTGATGATGTGGAGGCGGAAGGTCTGTGAGCAACTGAGGCAATCTAAGAGGTTGCAGCTGCTAAATATTTCATGCTGTCTCTAGTCTCCTCCACATTATCTCCTACTTATTCTTAACCTTTCCCATGCTCCTCACTGTGGAAAGCTCTGCTTTTGCACCAGCTCTGGCACTTATTAGAGCAAGTGAGTCAATTCAGCTTCTTGGCAGAGAACAATCCGCTTTTATTTTGTCTGGGTATGTTTTCTGCCATATTAATGAGCTCAGACAACGCAAGTAAAAACCAGACCAATCGCACAGTAAGCAGAAACTCTGCATGGCCAGGATCGTGATGGTAGTGGTAAAAACATCATCTTTTAGGACCTATGGGTGGCTAGATCCACTTATCCCGTGGAATCCTGGCTCTCTCAGTTATTATCACGTTATTCAGTCCTGTGCTCTCTGAGGGCAACTGGAATGCAGTGACTGATTCCTGAGGAAGGCAATAGCCAGCAAAAGCAGTGCCTTTGGACCTGAGAGAAAGTTGTACCTTATCTCTGCTCTTCTAAGGACTTGCTGTGTGACCACTGGCCTGTAATTTAGCTGCTCTGAGCCTTTCTCCATATCTCAAAAAAAAAAAAAAGCCAGAGGCATTACACTTTCACAAGAGGTTTTGCAGAGATAATACATCAAAAACTTTTGAAGTTCATAGACAAAGTATGGATCCAAGGGGCACCTAATTATCTAGAATAGATAACTAGAGCACTATGTAATAATCAGTACTAAATTCTCAATGCCCTTTCTGAGGATGTTGCACAGTAATTCAGCATGCAATAACCAAACTGAAACAGAAAACTGAAAAGATGGGAAATATTTTCTTTACTAAATATGTATTTTCCTTAATATACTTGAAGAAATTTCTATGTATAGGATGTATATTTGATGGTATGTTTTAATACACACTATCCTTCTGTCCTCTCTGTGGACATACGGCACCCGTCACCTGAAGCTTTATTTTCTCCTGCTTTGTTTTAATTCTTCTGCTTGATGTAAGACCACAGGTTAATGTAGGATTAACAGAATTTTTTTAGCCCAGTTTAGCAACAGTGTCATGGCTTTCATACAGTTCAACTTCTGCATCTTGGTTTTAATATCTACACCACATATGAAAACCATCCTGGAGCGTATATCAGTAAATTTCCAATCCTGAGCTTGGGTTTAGAGCAATTCACATTTTTTCTAATCCTACTATCACAAATAGCAACTTCATTTAAGTTTATTTTTTGAAATATCCACCATTCAGTAAAAAAAAAAAAAAAAAAAAAAAAAAAAAAAAAAAAAAAAAAAAAAAAAAAAAAAAAAAAAAAAAAAAAAAAAAGATGTACATGAAAAGATGCCCTGTATGCGCAGCAGAGTTGTGTTGCCTCTGCTAACTTGAAGGCCGAAGTAAAGAACAGAATGAGGCTATGAGAACTGGTCCTATCATCAGTTTATAGAGCATGAATTAGGTTAACTTATTTGATAAAAATAATTAAAAAAAAAAAAAAAAGCTAGTAAAATACAGCTGTTATGAAACCAATAGAACACTAACTCATTTTTAATGTGTCCCATCAGCCATAGAATCATAGATTATGCTGAGCTGGAAGGGATCCATCAGGATCATTGAGTCCAACTCCTGGCACTGCACAGGACATCCCAAGTCCAAATGCCTCTTGAATCAAGAGTAAAGTTTCAGGAGTAACATTTGCAGTAAATTGTCACAGTTTTTTATGGAGGTATGAAGTATCTCAGAGTTAAGGATTTTGAAACACAGAGTATCACTAATGAATATTTATATTTCTCTGAATTATTAATTTTAATTCCCAAGAACATTTACTTTTATCTATACATTCTTGTGTTTTGTGTTGGTTTTTTTTTTTCCCCGATTTCCCCATGTTGATGTCAATAATAGGGCTTTGAGCAATCTGGTCTAGTGAAAGGTGTTCCTGCCCACGGAAGGGAGATTGGAATGAGATGATCTTTGATGTCCCTTCCAACCCAATCCATTCTGTGATTCTATGACTCACATAAAGACTTATTGGCTTAATAACTACTTTTGAAAGGACTTAGTATTAGTTGTTTTCAAACTGTGAATTTCTTGTATCTAAATTTTATTTTTGTCCACCAGAAAGGCAACAACTGTCTCAGGGTTCAAACAGTGTGAGAGTGATTCTAAATATAAAGTGTCATTCAGGGAAAACCATTGTCTAATATCAGGTCAGAAGTAAAACACATCCTGCGAGACATTCATTGCATCACTGCAGTCGTGGCTTCACAATAAAGCCATTCTTGCCAAATGGTAACACAGTACTGCCTGTGGACACCTTCCAACACAAATGCAGAAGACAGAACGTAGAATTCTTCACTCTAATCGCCCCACCCTCCTCTGGATGTATAAAAAGGTTCCCTCCATACAGTGCTGCAAACGATCTGTATAAATGTGAGGGCAGGGGCAGCCAAGGTCACGACCTGTTGGTGCTGAGCCAGAGAAATGGAGTTTACCCACATGTGCCGGGACACGCACCCTCACACATACCATCCAACTTCCCAGTAGGCAAAAGGGTGCATGTGACAGCGTGACTCGTTACCCTGACACACAGTACACTTTACAACTACACCTGTTCCAGGTTGGTTCCAAATATTTGCCTTCCACTCCTCCTGAGGGAACACAAAGATCAGACA